CAAATTTCCGCGACAAGTAATTCGAGTCAGAGGGGGTATGTGTTAATATAATGAAAAAGTTCATTTCGGAATACTGTTTGCCACAGTTTTAATAACGCATGCTCATGGAAAATAGTCACGGTCAACTAGCACTAGGACATCCCACGGACAATCAGATACCACGACAGTCGTTGAAGCAAACTTTTAGATAGCGAATTCGAAAAGTCGACCAAGCCAAACAAACGTGCTCGCACCAATCCAGTACCCTAATCACGCTCCAGTTTCGGTTGCAGCAAAGGAGGATTTTGAGGCTTTGGAGATGCAAAATCGGCATGTTTGATGACGTGACCTACATCGAATCCCTAGCCGAGGAATAGCCAAAATGACCGTTTATGCAGAGCTAGGCTCCAGCAAGCCATGCATGCTATTCGTCTGCACGCATTGGAAAGCATGAAAGATCGGACGTATCGGCCGTTACTCCGGATGTGGAGTTTCTACACCCAGGAGCAAATGCTCCTGGTGTGAACAGTAAATTCAGAAAAATTCAAAAATAATTCAAAAAATTCTGATTTTTTTTGTGGCATACTTTCACAAATGTTTGTTGTGCATGCAAAATTTAATCGCAAAATCACATTGGTAGAAGGCGTGGTAAAATAAACAAAATCGATGCTCTGAAAATGTTACTTACAAAAGCATTTTGGAGCTCTGATTTTATTTTATTTTTTGACACGACTTCCACCAATGTGATTTCATGATGAAATTTTGCATGCACAACAAATATTTGTGAAAGTATGTAACAAAAAAATTTCAGATTTTTTTGATTTTACTGTTCACAACAGGAGCATTTGCTCCTGGGTGCAGAAATGTACTTTCGCGTTACTCCTTACTTCACTCCTTCCACCATCCAAACTGCCATTCACATCTCTCTCTGTGTGTAAGTGTGTGAGAGAGAGGGAAAAATAAAAGAAAAAGTAAACACAAATACTGTGGCTGAAAATAATAATTAGGCAACCGACAAATAGCAAAATTGTTCTTTCTTCTGTTCGATAGACTAAAGCTATTCCCCTATTTTGTAGAGTTGGTTAGTTTTCTTTGCTGGGGTAAAAGATGTTTCATTTCGAAATTATAGAGTTACAATGAAAAGGCAAGAGATTCTCGATATATGGGCCCCATTTATGTAGCCAAACAGTGGTGCTACATTGAGAGCCTTTTGGTCTGTGACTAAGGGGGTGTTTGTTTTAGAAGTCCTAGGACTTTTTCTAGTCCCAGGGACTAATCAAAAAAGACTCTCTAGTAGAGTCTTTTTCTAGTTCATGTAGAAAAAGTCCCTCCCGTTTGTTTCCTAGGGACTTTTTAAAAACTTTTTTTAGTCTCTGGGACTAAAAAATCCCTGAACCAAACACCCCCTAAGGCTACGGCAAAGGAGGATTTGAGGCGTGTTTGGTAGGTCGCATGTAGCCCAGGCTTTGGAGATGCAAAATCGGCATGTTTGATAGCATGACCTATATCAAATTCCTAGCCGAGGAATAGCCAAAACGACCATTTTTGCAGAGCTAGGCTCCGGCAAGTCATGCATGCCATTCGTCAGCACACGTTGGAAAGCGTGAAAGATGGGACATATCGACCATTACTCCTTACTCCACTCCTTTCACCATTCAAGCTGTCATTAACATCTCTCTGTGTGAGAGAGGGGAAAAGAAAAGAGTAAACACAAAAAATTGAGGCCGGGGGTCATCCTCTTTTTTTTAGCCCCCCGCGTCGCCCCCGCCTCGGGCGACTCGGGCGGATCCCAACCCTAGCTGCCGGGGGCTCTCCGTCCTTCCATCCCTCCCTCCGCCGCCGCCGAAGGACGCCGCCGGCCTTTGCCCGGGGGCTGACGGCGGTGGCGGGGGCCTTTCCTCTCTCTCGCGCCATGGGGACGGTGCGGAGCTCCGCGACGTGAGGTGGCACGGCCGATCTGGCCTCCGTGGCGTGGCGGGCCTGCCTTGACCGGCGGCAGCGCGGCGGCGGCCTCGTCCTAGGGCGGTGGTGGTGGCGGTTGCGGCGGCCGGCCCTGCGTCGGGCAGCGGCCTTGGCTGCGTTCGGCGGTGGCGGCCGGATCTGCAGCGACGGACCATCTGTCCTCGGATCGGCGGTGGCGGCATGGAGGGCCTGGTGGTTGGGTCGGCGCCATGCGTAGTTTGCCCTCCGGACAGATCCGATCTGCCCGGTGTGGCTTGCTCGATGTGTGGCGGCTCAGATCGGCGAAGACCCGTGCGCACAATACGTGATGGAGGTTATTCGGCGGATCCGGGTGAAAACCTTGTGCTCGGCTTGTTGCCAAGACCGGCGTTGGTGGCACCCTGTGGTGTCATTACCTTCTTGAAGGCATCGCCGTGGAGAAGCTCTAGACCTCTATCCGCTACCTCCGGGGGAAACCCTAGATCAGTTGATCGGATGACGGCGACGCGTTGGTGTCGTTTCCTCCTTGGGGGCGTCATTCTTGGAGGCGTACACGGGATCGAGGGACCAGCGGGTGCCTTATTGGTGGAGCGGTATTTCATCCTTCTCATTGATGACGGCGAATCTCGGCGGCGTGGTGCAGTGGAGACTCGGCGCCCGATGCGCAGGGATGGACTCGCGCAGGTGGAGGTAGTTGTCTGGCGTCAAGGTGGCGTCGATGACGGAGTGGCCTGACAAGGTAGAAGCCTCAATATCTGCTCTGAAGACGGACCTGTGAATGATGGCGGCGACGACACATGTGAGTGTGTCAGACCAGTTTATGCCCCAGACCCGGTATGTGGCTCGGCTGGGGCTTCTGGCTTTTGATGATAGGTTTAGGTGAGTAGACCGGGTATGTGGCCCAGGTAGCACCCCTTCATCATATGGATAGGAGTAGTGGCATATGTTGCCAAGATGGCGGATTCAGGCATATTGTTGTAATACTTTGTAAGGTCCCCGGGAATAATCAATAAAGTGGCCGTATGCATCTCCCAGATGCAGAGGCCGGGGGTCATCCTCCTTTTCTAAAATAAAAAAAAAACAAAAAATTGTGGCTGGAAAGAAAATTTCAGGCAACCGACAAATAGCAAAATTGTTTTTCCCTGTGTTGGATAGACTAAAGCTATTCCCCACTTTTGTAGAGTTGGTTATTTTTCTTTGCGAGGGTAAAAGAAGTTCTATTTCAAAATTATAGAGTTACAATGAAAAGGCAAGAGATTCTCGATATATGGGGCTCCTCTATGTGGCCAAACAATAATGCTACATTCAGCGGAAATTGCCTTTGGAGGCCGACCTCCATGGAGGCCTCCAAATGCAAAATTCAAAGCTCGTGAAAATTCATATTCTTATATTTAAAAAATCGGAAAATAATATAGAGATAGATGAAGGCATAGTGCATAAGTGTGTAAATTTTCAGGACAAAATACGTTGAAATGAGGGTTGTGCAAAAAGACAAATCAAAGGCCTTTTAACACATGATACTATTTATCCTCATAGACCATGAATTTGTCTTTTTTTGTACAGGTCGCATTTTAATGTATTTCATCCTGAAATTTTACACATATATGCCTGACATCCTTGCTTGTTTGTACAAAAAATTCAGATTTTTTTCAAACCAGAATCTTTGAATTTTGAATTTTTCAAAAAACGGCCTCCATGGAGGCTGAGAGCCAAAATGCCATTCTCTGCATTCAGGGCCTTTTAGTTTGTGACTAAGGTTGCCACAACAACTAAGGTTACATAGTTATAGTGTGCATGACGGCGACCCAGTCCTCGAGGCCTACCACCGGCGTGCATGTCGGTGCACACTGCTCGACCCCCTGCCTCCTACAAGCGGTAAGTCGGTGCCACCGCTCGACATTTCCAACGCCTCCGGATCTGAGCTTACCTGCGGCGGGACAATTGGTGGATAGGATCTGGGGCCTCACCGAGAAGCACAACCCGTCCCGATCTTGCTACCTACGAAGAGGCGAAGATGGCGTCGACCGCGCCACAGTAGCTCGACGGCTCCGTGAATGGTTGGGCGGCTGCCACGCCGCTGCACTGCTCAGCCCGGCCGCCAACATGAGCGGTGGCGACAGGTACGAAAGTGACGGCAGCTACAATTTCGTGCCGACATGATTACCCTGAGCCCCCTCTGCCGTCTCGTGCACCTTTCTTTTAACAAATTAAGGAGCTTTTCGGCGGTCTCGTCTTATAGCTGTTGGGCCGGAGGCGGAGTGGATCTCGGGCGGATTGGCTACGAGGAGGAAGAATGTGGGAGTAGTGGGGTGGTTTGACCTGCTTTTTTCAGTTTGGTTTCAAAACGAACGACCAACTAGAAGAAAAACCAAAAGCAAAAATAAACCACCATAGCCATGACAAGCGCTAAAATTGAGAAGAAGAAAAATTAAGTTAAAATGTACACACGAGGGTAAAATGTGGCACAAAGGGCAAAAGTGAATGTATAAATTAAGGATTTTCTCCGGGTTAAAAATGAAATTAACTCTTGTTTTATTAATGTCGGCACCGGAGGCCTCGGCTGTCCGCTCAGACGTTTAGCGGGAGGTCCGGTTGGATGCCTGCCAATGCATTTTCCCTCTCCCCGTACATGTATAAATGGATAGCTATCTTTTTTTTTTTGAAGTAAAATGGATAGCGACCTTGGCAACCAAGAAAACGGATAGCGACAAGATTCGTGAGACAAGTCAGCGACGAAGAACCTTGGCAACCAAGGCGCGCGGCAGCAACCGTGACGATCAAGTCAAAATAATCAGCTGACCTCGTGCTTCCGCTCACACGTCGTGGACGAAGCTTCACGCCGCTTTCTCCCCTCACAACATTATACTCCCTCCGTTCCAAAATAGATGACTCAACTTTGTACTAACTTTATACAAAGTTAAGTCATCTATTTTAGAACGGAGGGAGTATATAAGTGTCGCACTACTGGATCCTCGACATAGCAGCAAATAGCACAGGAAGCAACAACACTTGAGAGAGAACCCAAAACACACACACACAGACCACACACAGGGCGAGTGAGAGAGAGAGTGGCTGAAGTGATGGTGTGGTCTACGAGCAAGCAACAAGGAGGAGATCAAGAAGAACCCAAGCAGCACAAAATGGTAAAAGAGGTGAAGAAGAGTGAGACACCCATCTTCACGTATCAGCTCCCCTTCCATTCTCTTTCCCTTAACAAAGTCAAGAACATCGAGGTCGACCGCTTGAGGCTGTCCTTCACGACGGCGAAAAACTCTACGCTGGTCCCCGTTGATTCCGGTTCTGATGAAGAGAGTGACGAAGATCAAGGCTGTTCGGACATCGACGACACTGTAAACAGTATAGGTGGACAAATGACCGTCGATAAGCCTATGGACGAAGGGTTAGATCGCATCTGTAGTGGTCTGCATGCTATTCCCAGGAAAAATAAAGCAAGATCGGCCAAGAAAAGATCCCATAAGCTCAGCTCTAGGAAGTTCTACAAAATATTCAGCTGAGGGGCCTTTTTATTGGAGTGTATAAGGGATCTCGAGGACTGGCTGAATTCCGATAGCCTCCTCTTTGGTCAAAGTGTACAATTTGGATTTCTTTGCTGATTCTCCATACATTGGAAAATTTGTACGCGTCCATGTATAACTTCTGATCTTGAATGTAATCGTCATTACTTAGCAATGTGTGTGTGTGTGTGTCAGATTTATGCGTGTAGCGCAGTCCGCCTCGAGAAACCTCGCTGCCGACCGAAAAAACATGACTTTAGAAAATCGATGTATGTTCTTTTTTTTTGCAAGGATGTTTTTTCATTTATAAAAGATATTTTATTAAATCAATATGTAACATCAAGCGAAGATTATCCTGCCACTCATATTGCGTGAAAACCTCCGTGGCCACCAGCTCCAACCGCGTACACACCGCTTTAAACAACGGTAGGTAATTCATACGGTCACTTCTTCGGTACAACCCCTAAACACATCAACTGG